GTTTCTCTTAACCTACACATTGTATTTTTCTCTCATGGGTGGTCAAAACAATAAAGTTACACTCTGGGAGAAAAAAAACCCCAGCTCTTTGGAACCAAAATATGTGAGCTTTTTTGATTTCCTAATACATTTTACTCCTTTTTACCAACAGTTGTCACTAATTAAGTGCTTGAGTAACATGTACAGTCCCAAAGAAAAAGAAATTTTACATTACAGAAGCCTTTTTCCTTCAGATCCCTACCTCCCATGTTTATTGCTCCACGAGGACCCATATCACCCATTCTCATTTCCTGTTCTCTCTGAAAGTAAACATAGTTTTCATGGTCAACCTGTCATTCTTAGAACTTAAAACATTCCCATTTACTCAATGAAAATAAAAATTTTCAAGTTTAAAAAGTTTTCATTGATTACAAAAATGTACAAGGAATAAAGTTAACTATACTCCCCTGTTTTTATAAAAGCAAACTGAGTAAGTTCAATATAGCAACGCTATACATTTTTGCAGAATGCTAAAGGTTAAATATCACAAGTTTAATTTATCAGATGCAGCAGTTGTAAGTTCCCGAATAGCTACGTGATCAACTGCAAATTAATCAATCTTCACAGAGTGTTTTTCATTAATAAGAAGCACTATATTAATCTATAAATAAAGAGGTCTTATTGCAGTATTGCCTAAAGGCTGTGGTTCAATTATACAGTCAATCTGGCTTCACAACTCAAAAACGGTTGTGTTGATTGGAAACCAAGATCTGAGGTGTTATATTATGGTCTATCAACTCAATCTGTCAGTTCATCTTTGGTCAAATAGTTTTGACTTAATTTGGTGGTGGTAGTCTTTGATAAATTATATCATGCTATTGCTATGTCCATCCTTTCGAAATCAGCATAAAAATGTAGTATCGGCATACACTATATAACATGCATTTATACTAAACAGACAAATAACATGCCAAATTGATTCAGATTCAATTGATGCCCAGTCATCCAACACCAAAAGAATTCTGCCATTACTGATAATGAACCACGGCCTGCTGTGAAACAATACTCAAAAGATAGTAGCGAGTGTGGCAAAAATCATCCCTTAGTGGAAAACAAAGTACACCTGTCACAGGTAACTCCAAGGGATTTTGGTAGTACTATTTAGATCAAAAGGATGAAACAAATTCACAGTTCAAAATGAAAATTAATATACAAATAATTTTTTCTCATTAATTTTCTGCAAGAACATTAACATATATTCCACTTGAGTGAATACACGTGCTGAGAATAAGCATATGCAACAAAATTTACCTGATTCTGAAAATCATTCCACATATGACTTAACCATTATTATTTAAAAGTTTAGATGCACTTTGAAAACAATTTCATATACTAGGCAACTGAATCAGTCTTGTCAAAAGCAACCTTTAAACTGAAATATTAATCAAATCAAACCACATTCATAGTATTTTTACGGTTTCACAAAACTCCTTTTTGTTCAATCATGTTTGGGATGACAAACATGAGACTTCTAGCTTCACACATTTAAAGCAGCTGACACCAATATTTGACAGAACAGAGTCAATAGTTTTGTAAAAATATCCTGGTATGGGAAATTGTCATACAATATAGGACAAAAGGTTCTCGGGTCAGTAACTTTGCTTCTAATAACTCATATTAACCTAGAAAATGAACTTAATGTAAGAAGATTATACACAGTTTTCCAAATAATATGGCTTAATGTGAAGAGGAAAAGTAAGGCCTCGTAACTAAAAAGGCAGGCAGTTTTAAGGTCCAGCCATGAAAGGCCATTGATGAACACTAAGACAGACCTCTTCTTCTGACCCTAGAACCCACGTTAAACCACTATAATAGAACATGCAACTACTTTGTCAGAGCTTCCACAGTAATGCCAACTGACATTAAAGTAAAATCAGCAGCCCTGTTAGGACCAATCATACCCACAACAATGAGTTAGTTACAAAATCAGCATACAACCTTGTTGATATTAGTCTGCTTTTATACCTCAGCCCTGACACAAAGCAGAAGGAAAAGTGTATCATCCCTAATGTCAATTCCTAGCTCAACATGGTAGAAAAACATTGTGGCTGGCTGTTTACATGAATCAGACCATGCTTGCACACGTGTGCACATATGTGTGTGAAAACAGGAGATTCCACAAACAGCTCCGAGATACTCCAGCTACAAGGGAAAGTACCAGATTTTCAATTACTGCACATAACTTGATGCATCTCAGGTTCAACTGGAAGTTGATGGGTGTTTTTTTTAATGTGAAATGTGCCATATAAGGCAGGGCTGAGTACCATACCAGCTAGATAAGGATGTTAGGTACAGAGCTGTACTAGTTACTAGAATTTAACTCGTTTTATTTGCAAAGGATAGAAGCATTGGCAAAGTATAACATACACTTGTTTTGAAAAGCACACTACACTTCCTCCTTGCAATAAAACACTTTTTTGTCAGCTTGAAATGCTAGTAGTCTTCAGTTAACGTTAAGTACAACAAGGAAAAGGGGTTGAACCTGTAATTTTTTACTTTTTAGTCTAGTCTGGTTTTTTGTAACAATAAATATGAAGTAATTGTTTGCCATTTTTGTAGCTTTAACTTTGGTGTTGAATTATTACCATATAAAAAACATTTCAGCTAAAGATCCATAAATGTGCCTTATGAGCTCTGCTGCCTGTTACTCTATCAACATGCCTACAAGAAGTATTATTCCTCATTGCATGTTCACAACTTATCATGCTCTTCTGAATTTTTAGCATGAAGAAACTCTTCTATCCAATTAACACAGAAATAGCAAATTTAAGATAAACCCCATCAGAAAAAATACTCAATCTCAAATGTTAATTGACAGCATATATCATTAATGTAATTAAATGCTTGACATATGAACTATAGAAACATGTACTTGAATAACCTGCCAAAACCAGTATTTGCAGGAATCCAGACAATAACAAAAATTCAGTCCTATCCCACACACATCATGTCCTAGACAGCTATTTATTATGCGAGCATAAGCAAGTTATTGCAGGTAAGTAAGCTGAACTATTCCAAGAGTTTTGCCCCCAATACAACAGAGAAAGGAATACCAACAGGCAGTTATGACAGAGTAGTGGAACCAGTGGTGGTTCATATTCCAGCCCACTTGAGAGCTTCATTCTTGGATACTCAAACCCTTTGCAGAACATAACAATGATAGTGTTATCTTCTGAGAGCTTCCTTTCCTCACTATGGGACTGCCCATTCTTCTGTTCAGTAGCAGCCTGCTTCAGCTCCTTCCCTGAAGCCACCCATAACTACCCTCAATACAGAGTTAAAATTGAGCTGCAAGAGAGGAGGGCTAAACTTTTACTACAGAAATACGCAGGGAGACTAAGAACCTCTGAAGTCACCAGATACCTGGGAAAACAACTTAAACTGGAAGAGAACAAGAAAAATGGATGATAGGCAGTTATAGGGGGAAAAGAAAGCATAAGACAAAGGATGTGGAATTTAAGCTTAGGGAAGACTGTAAAAAAAAACCCAACCCAGAAGCAAGCAAAGAATCGTACCTTATTATAAGGGGTAATTCTTTACACAACTCAAAAGAAAGCTTTCCAAATTATTTCTGTTCCAGGATTCTTGTAAAATACTTCAGAACTCACTAATGCAAACAAACCTCAAGGTCTGATTATCTGAGTAATCTGCTTTTAGAAAAACTACTATGATGGCAACTATCACATTATAGTTGCTAATTACTTTAGACACAATCATTAAAAATTACATTTCCTCAAAGTTTCAAGTCCTTTTAATGTCATATGTAAAAAGCAGATCTACACAAAAACATTTAATCCACCCACTTTTCAAATACATATATATATTGTGCATTTAATATAGTATGGATTCTCCCCTTTTTACAAGTATTAGAAACAAGTCTTCTTGAGCATTCAAGGTATATAATGAGCAATGTTCTTACACCCCAATCACCATTAATACCAGTAGTCTAAGTATACAGAACTGCCAGGACAATTCTTCTGTTGTTTTGTTTTTTTTTTTTAATATATTAGTATATTTGTAAATCCACTCTATAAAACCATGAAACTAACTGTTTTGAGAAGACACCTAAGAATTGATACAGGATACGTATGGGACGCAATTCCCTTCTCACACCGAAAATAAAAATACAAGTAGTTATAAAAATGGTCTTGGAACTGACAAAACAATACTACTTTCTTCCCTGGAAACATGCCTTCCAATTGAGGCAGCCCAAAGACTTTTAAAAACCTTGTCTCCAAATTACGCAATAGTCATGGTAACAAAACTGTTACCAAAAAGTTATGGTATGGAATAAACATGGCATGCAATATTTCAGAAAAACAAAATGCAAGATATAAACAGAAATATTAAGAGATCATACAGTTTTCTTCAAGTGATTGTGGCCAGGAGGAAAGGCACTTCCAAATTAACATAGACTATTCACTCATCCTTCAGCTACGGAATGGTGGTCAAAATAATGCTAAGACAAAGCATCAAAAAAACCCCTTATAAAAAAAAAGAACACTTGCTCCATAAACTTACTCTTGCACATTGAAGTCAGCACTTAATTAGCACTTCTCCAAAGTTGTGTGTGTAGAGCAAAATGTAATTCACAGTGCTGCTGATTCTTTCATTAACATGAAAACTGAACTCTACTCTCTAGCAGACTTTATATTTGTCAAAATAGGTAAGACATTTCTGTACCTCTTACTAGAATTCATTACTCCCTTCTAGAGTGGTTTATTTCTTTAAGTTCTTTCTAGGTAAGGAAAACTTATTTCCAAAGGCCTCTCCATCCTTTAAACCTTACAAGAAATTGTAATCTACTGAAAGACACCTGTATTTTGTATCATACAAGGGGTTAAAGTCACTAGAATTTGAGGGGATACTTTTGATTGTGCATTATTCGTCTTTTCCTCAGAATATTCTACTACTTCAAATCAATGACAAGCTCACTGGAAGTGAGGAGCTACAGTAATAAAAGCCTTCCCTTCCACCCACCCCCTCCTGTTACCTTTTCCTCTTCGGTTTACCCATCAATTAAGATCTACAATTATAGCTCCCACCGAGGAGTTTGGAAAAAAAAGCTCTCTCACCTCACATAGAATTACACAAGCAAGTATGTTAAACTAGATAACAAATAAATGTAGCTATAAAACATGCAGCATACAGGATACTACACAGTCCTATTTTTAAATGAGAAGTCTAATGAAAAGAATTTTCATTACGTTTAATAGCTGTCAACAGGACTTGGTCTGTGAGAAAAACATTCTAACAGGGC